TATAAGTTTTGCGGCCGTAGTAAGATACCCACCTGCGACCACGGCCAGACGCAGGTGGGTTTCGGCGTGTTTGCTCCAATTTGACCATGGGCTGCCTAGCTTGAAGCGGGCAGTAACAAACCGTTGAGCACCCGGTGGTGTCGTTCCACCGTCAGAGACAATGCGTGGCGCTCGTGGTCTACGCCAATCGAGCTGTGAGCTTTTAACCCGTAGATCTGTAGTCTCCAATTGCTAGGTATTACAGGAAGAGGGTCATCAAGCACTTACGAACCTCTGAATAGGATGGACTAGAATACTGGCAGCGCGCCCACACCTGACAGACGACGACTCGGGTCCTCAGCCAATGCCTTCGATTAAATGTCTATTCGAAAGGCATCACCATTATACACATTAGCTAGAGGTGGGAAACACCTCAGCTACTGTGCCGCAGTACATATAAGTAAAAAGGAGTAAAAATGCAATTGGTGGAAGCCAGCTGGTCTACCGGTAACGGATGGGCATCGTTCCGGTAAGCCACCAGCCGGTTACTAGGCAACAAGAAAAATATTTACGTAAAATTATCTTACGCTACGAAATGAGATCGTGTTTGGAGGAGGAGGCTGAAAGGGATGGCGAGGGACAAAGAAACTCACAGCAGCAACGCCACTGAGGTCGGCTCCTTTCCATATCAGTACGTGTATCTAGCCAAACGTATTCATCGTCTTCCGGACCCCAACTAGGGAGCCGAGACGCTCCAACCGAGGCCAGCTCCGAAGTGAGGACCTTCATTCCTCTGGACCAAGTCATCGCTTGGCCACCTCTCCACTTCTCCCATCTACACCCCCGGCGCGCAAACAACGCACATTGCGGGAGTCGGGGGACTGGCATGCGCAACACGTGACCGAGCCATCGGAGCCTGGTGCGTGAAATAACGGTGCTGAGCGATTCAGATCCTTTTTCTATGCCGTAAACAAAGCGCCGAACACGTTCATTGCTAACTCAGTGTTCCCACCAGATATGTGCTCAATTGCGTAGGCACCGGTGGTCAACCTCAACTAGCCTCTTTATGTCCGCTGATCTTAGGGGCCATATTTCGCACCCGTACCGTAAGGTCGAACGTACTGCTGCATTGTACACTCTACCCTTCAGGGCGAGAGTGATGTCGCGCCGGCGCCATAAGTGACGAAGGTTAGCGGAAGCGCCTCATGCTTTTGCAATACGGTTCGTGTTCTCATCTTCAATCCCACGGGCGCTGATACAACTGCCCCTGTAGTTGAATTTCTGAACGACTTCTAGCTGATCCCCACCATGCGGACTGGTGTCCTGGATCTTAGCAGGGAGAAGGGCGTAACCCAACTCCCACCCAGCGGTCACCACGACAAGGCGTCCAGGATATGAGCCCATGGTCACCGGATCCTGTGTGGACTACTACAGAACACAAAGATGGCGAATGATCCAGCTGGCTGTCAACGATCTTCTATTTAGCAACATGTCCCGCCGCGCTGCATTGCAGGTTAGGCCTTTAAGACCGAAGATTCGGCGTGAGGTCCCCTAAGTCAGTCCTCTCCCTCGGCCTGGGCAACTGAGAACCTCAATGCCCACGCAACCCATTTATCCGTTTCCCTGCCTGCATCTAATCTCCCTTGTTGTTGCTGTTGTTGTTACTCATATTCTATGGCACAGTGCCAATCGTTTGTTGGCCATGTGGTATATATAAATATAATATTAAATATATTACTAACTTTTCTGAAATGACTTTTAGTTACCCATCCTCTCACAAATCTTGGATGCGCCTCATTAGAAAAATTTCAGATGCCCTGCTCGTGATCTGTTATGGCGCTTCGTGATCTTAACTACTCCCTACTATTTCGGAAGTCGAATTTTTTCCCCATCGAATGTCGTCGCCTAGATCTCATTTACACCAGATGGACCTTAAAGAAGGAAGTTGGGAGTCAAGTACAATAGCACCTCCGATTCAACCTTAACAGCTTGACACGGGGCCATGAGTGGACGTTGTACAAGCAAACAATACTTCACTTCCGTTTCGATGCTGGCCTATCTGCCTGTATGATTAGTAATTGGAACAGCATGCCGGCGAACACTGGCGATGGGTGGACAGAGGAAAGTTTTGGATGACCGTTAGATCGCCGTCTGATGAGTACGACAATATTCTTTTGCTCCTACTACAACAGCGACGATCCTCGGAGGAGTGCCGTCTTGCAACCACGTGTCTCAACCCTGAAATTAATCGGGATTGATGGTGCTACTCTCTACATCCCAGTGGATCTCATTTGTCTCAAATAGCAATGGGTTAGTCTGGGTATCAGGGCTAAATCCTTCTCAAATCGTATCGTATGCAGCCGGATTAAATTTCCTTCTGATAATCTAGTACTCGGTACGGAAGTAACCTGGTTGGAAATTGTTTAATCTCTCTGCTGGATTCTTGTACTTGGCTCGCAATTCGTAACTGTCGACTGCGGTTGTGTGGCGAACTCCAAAGATGATTGATAAAAGTTCGGATACTTCTTTTTTATTGCTTCATCTTTTGTAGAAACAAAGATTCGGTCAGATGTCGAAGTGCCGGCACCCGGTTTGCTTGCCCTTACACTAAGTAGGACACTTGTTGGACATTCGTCTGTATCGTCCATGAAACCTGGCCTGACTTCTACCTGTCTCTGCAGAGTTGTGCGGTAGAGTGAGGTGCCTGAACTCAGCTACGAACTCATCGGGCACAATGCAGTGCGACATTGGTAGCAAATATTATCAGCTCAGGTCCAGAGCAATACGCTCTTGCCTCAAGTATTAGGAGGTAGCTGTATACTTTCCTGACTGCTATTGTCTATGCACGATTAGAGATTTTGTGACACGTCTCGAAGTCATAAAATCTGGCATCTCTGTTACCTTTGTTGACTTTTCTAGACCGGCAATTAGATAAACTTGCTACCAGAGTTAGAAGCTCAAGTATACTTAATTAGGAAACAAATATAACTTCTGATAACACAATAGCTCTGGCCAGTTTTCATTTTCGTCATCGTCACTACATATTAGCTAAATGTAAGAAACAATTCAACTATTGTGCAGCAGTACAAAAGGATATATATGAAAAAAGGGTTAGAAACTTACAGAATACGAAAGCCGACGGGCTATATATTGCTTATTAAGGTATTATTTTTCAAGACAGATCATGGTTAGAAAGGGAAGCTAGGTGGGATGGTGATGTACAAAGAAGCCCGCAACCCAAATGCCACTGAGGTCGGCTCCTTGCCATGCTAACTATTGTATTCAAACAAACTTCTTCATTGTTCTTGTGACCCCAGCCCGGCAGTCGGGGATTCACCAACCGACGCTACGTTCGAAATGAGTGACCGTTCCTCTTGACCAGGTCATCGCTGGGCCACGCCTCCTCTTCTTCCATCAACACTCCGGTCGCGCAAACAACGCACATCGCTCGTGTCGGTGTTCGGGCACCCGCCACACGGGGGCCACCCATCAAAGCCTAGTCCGTGAAATAACCATGCTGAGCGGTTTACTTGTTATTTCTACACCAAATACACAACACCGAACACGCTCGATGCTCACGCGGCATTCCCACCATATGTGAGCTATGTTGCGGAGGCGGCAATAATCGAACGTAACAAGCTACTTTATGTCTGTCGATCTGTTGGACCAGGTTTCACCACCGTATAGGAATGTTGAACGGATGGCTGCATTGTAAACTCTGTCCTTCAGCACGAGAGTGATGTCGTACTGACGTCTCAGGTGGCCGAGATGGGCAAGAGCGCCAACCTTGGAGAAGGATTTCGCATTTCGACGGTGCAAAGCCCAGCCCGAAATGACTGACAATCAGTGCTAATTTGCCCAATGCTGCTTGGCACTTTTAGTAGCTGTCGGCGTACTCCACCTCAGGTCGATCACCTTGGAGCAGCTCAACACCTTACAGGTTGTGTCCACTGAAAACAGTTTCCATGACCTCCATAGCGAATCTAACAAAACCGGTGAAGATATTGAAGTGCCGTAACAGTTTGCCATAATCCCTCACTCTGCCCGGGCACGCCTTTCCTGAGTAGACGGTCCCAAAGACCACATCAGTCAACGCAATCGAAAGCACCTTTGAGGTCGAGGAACACCATTACAGTGGATCACCAATAAGTCTGGCGGCACTCCGACAATTGAAGTAACGTGAAGATGTGTTTAATATAGCCGCGACTTCGACTGAAACCGGCTTACTCTTCACAAATCTGGCTTTCTCGGGTACCATCCAGTCTATGGGCCCGTAGCCTTAAGGATCGCAAGCGTGTCTTGTAATCTGAAAGCGCAGGTTAGAGCATGCGTAGGGACCGGACTACCCTTGCCGTATCCTTAGCCCCTATGCGAATGATGGTGGTCGCGCGGCAGCGAGACAGGTGCTGCGTACCGGCGTACTGTTGATGCGTTCTTCTTTTTCTTCTACCCGTCTATAGAGATCGACAGAGGCAAGTAACTGAAAGATACTTGGAATCAGACTAAACCCTCTATGATTGCCGCATTCCTAATTTACACCCCTTGAAAATGTGGACTATATCGGAGCGATGCCAGTCTGATTGAACAGCCTTCTGATCCCACAACCAATAGTAAGTTGTACAAACCATCTATAAGAACGGGTCTCCTGAGTGTAAAGAGGGCTGGTGATAGTATACCTGCTCCTGCGTCCTTATTCAACTTCACCGGTCTGACCTCACGTTCGACTTTTGCACGAGAAAGACGGCTTCAGTGTGACAGCCCAGTGAATAGGGAGATCAGAGACCCATAGTGATGGTAACTCTAACTGATTAAACTACTTTTCAACATGTTCGGTCCAACGCTGCCAGAGTTTTGCCAAACCGTGGATAGACTGTTTACATTAAGGTCCACTTTCGTCGCAATGCCGCTCCCACGTCTTATAAGTCTGCAGTTTTTGTCGCTTTTAAATATTTTCACCTATCTTTCTAAACTCAATTCCGCTCGACACTAATCAATCAACTTTCTGCTATGTTCTGTTTCAGGGCACCTATCCCCGCACTCCTCCTATTTGGTTCTCCGATTCCGATGATCCTTGTATCACCCGAATCTTCGAGCAACTACAGAATACAGATCCTGCCAATTACACAGTGCGTCGACCTCATTCTTTCCTAATTGTTCCCCATTAGCTTGATCGACAGGTGAAGATATTGGTCACACAATTGTGCCGATACAAAAACGTTCTCCACCCTCCGGAATTAGCCACACTGTGCCCTGATTTCCTACCTGATCTGGTTAGTTAACGGTTAATTATACTGCATTCAGATCGTTGGTGTCTGCTGTTGCGCTTCGGAATCTTCACAGCTAGTGTATTTTCCTCCTGTTAGCTCATTAAATTTGTCTAAACACGGCTCTTCCTTTTGGTCTTTTATTCCTTTTTTATTTTGCTTTGCTGATGTCTCATATACCATAGGTTTACCAACTCGGTTCTCCTTACTCCTCGTATAATATGCATCTGTAGTGCGCCGAAACATCCTACCGACGCTTCGTTGCCACGCGACTACAACCAGTCGCACACGGGCTAAGTGTACCGCAAAAACACCCACCCCTACGCGGATTCTTTCCCGCGTCGCAAGATTATGAGACAAGTTCGTTACCTCTAGGCTACGGACCGACGCGTTCTGCGCCTTAGGTATGCATGAAAATCACCCTTATTCTCATCAGTTTTTTCCGAATTTCTAAGCACATCTCGCTAACATTATCCGTACCCAACTTTTGCGGACACATCCAAAGCTTTCCGGCGTCAACTCTTCGCATCGTATTGTCTATACTCCATGCCACGTGTGGCTATGTAGGGGGCCATGCTGCTCCTCGTCCCTCACCTCTGTTTCGTCAATTCAGCCTTGTAGCTACACCATTTTTCAGGTAACACGGCACTTAGTAACGGTCGTCGAATTTCTTGGTTACTCCTTGTCTGGCCAAAGTGCATCGTATTCAAACAGAGAGCGTTGGATATACACCCCGCGGTGTGGTGTTGTAGTCGGGCATCCCACTGCTTTCGCCTCCTCCGCAGCTCGTAATCTCCGTCAATGATCCATTTTGCCACCCAGTACATTGGTATCATTAAACTGATTTGAGCTCACCAATATCCGTTCACAAAAGCCGTCTACGGGCTACGGACATCGTATCACTGCTGTGCTTCGTTTATCCAACGGTCATTCGATGCATAAACGCTTACGCCAACTTTTTTGCTTGCTCAGTTCAGATCAGTTACCTTGCCCCTGGTTTCAGGATGATAAAGTACCACCACCATCAAGCAAATCAGGAGAGGTGCACAATTACGTGTTGTTGGATTGGAACGTTAACCACGCAAGATTCATGAGACTATACGAATGTCACTAACTTCGCTTCTTTGACACGTTCAACAGTATTTCAGGTCGTTAGGTTCCATCTTCGAAAACAGCATTTACCAGCCCGATAATCACTTTTTTAGTCTATTTCTTCACTCCATTTTCACCACATCGGTTGATTGCATTAAAACTTTAGCCTGTAATATGTGCTGTCAGAAAGGACTGTATGTGTATAGGTATCAGCAGTTCCGACGCTTCGCTGCCGCGCAACCACCAGCCGCATGTGGGCTACGGATACTGTGAGGATCGCTGGTCCCTACGCAGGCTCGAATCCGTGCCCTCGGATTACAAGGCAGGCTTGTGCCCCTTAAATCTACTGGCCGGCACTGTATATGTTGAGAATGGTAGTTGACAGCTATGTAAATAACGCGACTCAGCCAACCTCGGAGGTTCAAATTGAACACACCTTTCAGCGCAGCGACAGTGGGAACGTTGCTTAACGATTGATGCAACTCATCACCGTTCATTACTGCCCTACATTCTATGGGCAACAGTTGACAGGTATCTATTTTCAGAGCAGGCCAGTCTCTTTACGTCTCTTAATGTTCATGTTTATGATCCATATAGTGGCTTTGGTTACACCAACATTACACGTCTTCTTCGACCGACATAATAACCCCGTAGTCCTCATAAGCGTCTGAGATATTTTGATGCTACACATGTCTTAATGTTGCCTGTTGTCCCGTGATGTGACCACCAGACATGATACAGCTACTAGGTAAATTACTTCACTTATCTGCTCTGTATCCTGCCTTTCCGAGTTGATATGCACATGTTCAGACGTGTGGCGCTTTGACACCTCGTTCAACGATGATTGGATGGAGTTTGGGTCTAACCCAGAGAGTTATGCCTTTCACACGCTCCAGCATTATCAGCCCATCACTCAGAAAAATCCCAACTCCGTCAAAACTAAACAAAAGATCACAGTTTCCGCAAGGTTGGTTGGAAAAGAATAACATAGAGCTACTTTGGTGCATTTCAGTTCCATGTAAAACAGTTGTGAGTTTCCATACCACTGTGCAGACATCCAATTATAATTACATACTCACTCGGACGATCAAACTTACCCAACACCAGCCACAGTGCCCCACGGTTCACCGTGTCAAATGCCTTTGTGAACTCAACATACAGCGAGTACAATTACTTGTGTCATTCTCGGCATTTTTCCTGTATGTGACGAGTCTCAAACATCGTATCTATGGTACCGCGACTCGAACGGAATCCGCATTGCTCTTCCGCCACGTTCGGTTCCACAACCTGAGTGACGAAGCGGTTGAGCAGGCTTCGGGCAGTCATCTTGTCCACACGATTCATCAAGTTGATGCCACGATAATACGTGCACCATTGCTTGCTCCCTTTGTCCTTGTACAGTGGTAGCACAAGGGCATCCTTCTGGCCAACCGGCACTTCCTCCTCAATCCACACGTGTTACACTAAGTGGTGCGCACTTGTAGTTTCGCATCTGAGCAACAGCTGTCTGCATCTCATTCAGTCTCGGTGTGTCGACATCATCTCGTGTTGCTGCAGCCCGTGCAACACAGCCCAGTCAATCACTGTGAACGGTTGTTCAAGGAACAGACTGCATAATGTCTGCAGTCTATGTGCAGGCAGCGCCCGAAGCAGCATCGAACAACATTCCCAGCGGCTGCAGCGCGAGTCCATACACTGCTTTCAAGGAGTCAAACAAGTCCTTATCTCGGCGGCGTTCGACGTAGCATTTCATCTGATTCGCCTTCTCCGTCCACAATGCATTATTGATGCTTCTGGACTCTCGAGTCAATCGCCGTCGAAGTCTGCGAAAACGACTCTCTTTCTCTGCATCGGCAGGATCGTCCACCTTCGCAGGGAGCGCTGCATCCTTCTTCGACGCCACCGCGCTAATGGCCACATTGTTGTCACCAAACCAATCGAGGCGCTTGCATTTTACGCGCCCGATCATTTGCTGGGTAGTAGCTGTCATCTGTTCACGGATGTGGTACCACAACTCACTCACTAAGGCGATGAATTCGACATCGCCTTCTCCATTTACATCCTCTCATTACTCTTTAGTGAAAAAACATTAAATTTACTCCGGTTCACAGCAGGTGTGCAGTACATACATTTACGAAAATATATGTACCATTTGATCCGCACCAACTTGTGATCAGTGCCACACTCAACTCCACGCATTGCATGTATCATGCGCACTTCACGCTGGCGCACGACGATATGGTGTAGCAGGTGGGCGTGACCACTCCGTGGGTACGTCCAGATAGCAATACCACTCGCACCCAGTGCAAACTGTGTGTTCGTGATCGTCAGGCACACCGTGAGAGCAACCGGTCACCGTTCCTATTGGCTGTGCCAATACCATACGGACCAATTCCCTCTATCCACACCGCGGCATCACGTTCGAGGCGCGCTCTGAATACACCCAGTAGGAATAGCCGGTCGCTCCTTGTCATGGACCGTATCACGGAGGATGACTGTATAGAACTTATCCGTCGTGTCACCATATGTGCTAATAAATTGCAAACTTACCTCTTCCAGGTCGCAGTCGAAGTGTCATCAATCCTGTGTTACTGCCAGTCGGCTCTGCCACCAGTTGACCATTTAGGTGGTCGGATAGTGCAAATCTCACCCCATGTTCGCACGGTGCTTAGGTAGTGTTCCCCACCCAGTAGAATGTGTAACCAGCACCATCGAGCCGAGTCTCCTTGAGCGCAGCAATGTCGGTCCCACAGACCTCGAGTTACATCGTTACCAGTGCAATGCGTCGCACATGTGGCGTTCCAGCACGTGATGTTGAGTGCTTTTCGCGGAGACAAACGATTGCGATGGCAGACAATCGCTCGTATGGTAACCTGTGTTGGAGGAATTATTTAGTTAAAATGGTAACGGGGATGGTATGTGCAGGAGAATAAGAAAGGAAGGAGGCCTCAGCATTAGCATATATTCGCATATCCACGGCGCTATATGCAGTAGCTATGGCGACCCTTTCCCTAAGGCCACTGCTCAACGGCTGATGCCTCATGGTATTATTATTACTATTATTATTGACGTAATTCGTGGTTATTTTCTAAACAGAATACTACGAGGGCATTGACACCTGAACAGGAGAACGACTTGTGTACCCAGCCGAAATTTTCGATGCAGTGACACCCGAAAGGCAGTGGGCAGAGTCGTCCAACCGACTCACCCGGGAAGAAGGGTGTAACCCAACTCCCACCCAGCGGTCGCTACGAGGCGTCCAGGACATGAGCACACGGCACAACGCTGGAACCGTGAAGTCCATGATCAGTCAAGATATTGTCACCATAGGCCTCCGCGGAACATGGACTCTGCCTATATATATATATATATATATATATATATATATATATATATATATATATATATATACTACAAAAGTTTACCCGTCTTGCATCGCTCAATGGTTTAGCTTGCTACCTCCGCCTTCTGTCGTACTCCTTGTGTGTGTTATACAGCCCATTTACACACAACTTCATTGATCTGTACTGGTCCCGTCCTACTTCCTTTGTGTTGTTTCCCCAGGGGTTCGATTTAGCAGCTTCTTAGTTTGCGCAACGCGAGTCAAAAGACACCGCACCGGACGGGAAGTATATTTGCGAAACACTGCACGTGCCGACGTGGGTATGAAAACACTCTGATTACAGTTCAAATCATGACTGAGTGTTACTTTGAATTTATCGATCTCAATGAATCACGGGACATGTGAGTGGTATGAAACAAGCGCTTGTGACAAATGTTCTGCCACACAGAAAAACTCTAGTCTGATTGTAACTGAGAATGTCCTGATACAAGGTACATGGGGCTTGGTGAAGTTTTCTTACCACCAATATAACACTTTGTTTGCCTGACTGAACTCTTATCCAGACATTCAC